GGCGGCCGCCCTAGTTGGGAAGAGGAAGCGGGCGGCGCCTCCAGCCCCTCCCCCGAGTCTCCAGGGCGGCGGGAGGCGGACCCGCGACCCCTGCCCGCTCCGTCCAGCACCTAAAGCGGCTCCGGTCGCCTCCTCCGACGGGAGGGAGGGAGTGCGGGGGGGGGGGCTGAAGGGACGCGGGGAGCTTCCGGGGGTCTCCAGGCGGAATTTCTAATCCCAGCGACCCGGTCTCGCCTGGGGGGTCCCTGGCGAGGATTCTGGCTCTTCCCCGACGGTCTTTCCCCTCTTAGCTTGCTTGAGCGAGCAAAGCGGGGCGCCGACCGGGACTCCGCAGCCCGTTTGCCCAGAGGACGGACCGCCCCACCCGCCTCCGCCACGTCGCTCTCCGCCTGGCCCGCCCCTTCCCCATTCTGCGGCCCAGACCCTTCCCCGGCCGGCTTCCCCGGGGGGGCTTCTCCTTTGGGCGGGGCCGGTCAGGGGCGGGGCGGGGGCTTCCGCGTGCAAACCGCCGCCGCCGCCGCCGCCGCTTCCCGTTGCTTTCCAGCGGCCTTTGCGCGCGGCGGCCCCAGGATTCCGGCCAACCGTCGCGCAGGCCCCGTCCCCGCCCCCGGACGCTTCGGCTCCCCCGGCTCCCCTTTTTTGGTTCAGGCTCCGAAGAGAAGAGGAGAGAGGAGAGAGGCGCGCGCAAAGCAAGCGGCGTCCCGAGGGGGCTGGGCGGCCTCTGACCCGGGGCAGGGGTGCAATGCAAAGGCCCGGCGCCCCCCCTCCGCCTGCGGCGTCCGGAGCCCTCCACGACCCGTTGCGCCGCTTCGGGCAGGGCGGGCACTGGGCAGGTTCCCCGCCGCCTCTCTCCGGGCCTGAGCCCCCCCCCCGTCCCTCGGGCGCAGCGCTTCCCGGGCGAGGAGCGGGTCCCGGCGCTCGCACGTCCCAGGTCGGCCAAAGGCCCAGCGGAGCCCTCGGGCCCCCTGCTCAGCTGGGCTCGCCTCGCCTCGCCTCGCCTGAGTTTGTCCGCGTGTCCGACTGAGCCCTGCCGGGAGTCCCCGGCGTCACCAGGGCTACCCGTGCCCCGCTTAGGCCTCGAGCGCTTCCCTACCTCCCGAACCAGAAGCAGGCCAGGGAGCAAAGGCCCGGCCACCGGTGCTCCGCGGAGGCTTACGGGTCATTGCGGGCTGTTCATGCAGCCGACGGGGTAAGCGAGGGTGCAAATGGCTCAGGGGAACGGAAGCGCGGCTCTTCCGGGGTGCAAGAAGCGTTTGCCCAGGGAAGCCACCAGACCTGAGAAGGGCAGAATTGCGAGGGGCTCCTTCAGCTGCAGGTTAAAGGTCAGCTGCAAATGGGGGGGGGGAGGACACAGCCCTTCCCCCAGCAGAGCCCCTCATCCTGATGCCCCGCCTGGGCCCATGCTGAGCCAGGGCTCCCTTCGTTAAAGGATGGAAAGCTCCTGGGCAGGTTTCCAGGTGGCAGAGGCCAAGCGAGGGCTGGCAAGAGGGACGCGCCCCCTGCCTGGCACAACAGGGGCAGCATTGAGGGGCTCCGCAACTGCTCTGCTGCAAAACGTGAGGCTGCTGCACCCGGGAACAAGGAGGCTGTCCCGCCAGGCCCCCTGTGCTATAAATAGGGGCTGGAATTTGGGTGAGAGGGAGGCTGGCTGGGAGGAGGGGAGGACAGCTGCTGTCCTGGGCTGCCCCCCCTGCTGCCAGCCAGCCTCTCCCCAACCCCTCGCCTCTCCCAGGCCCCCCCTCGCCCCCCCATCAGGGAACTGCTGCCCTCCAGCCTCCTCTTTCCAAAGAGGGGATTTCACGGTTGGTCTGAATTGCAGCTGTTGAGCTTGGGGGCCTCTAAACAGGCAAGAGGCTGGGTGCCCACAACTCTGGACACAGCCCATTGGGGGGTGGGTGTCTGAGATTGTGGCACACACCAAGCCTCAAATAACCCCCCCACATGATTGCAATGGGGTGTGTGAATGTTGCTGCTGGGCCTTTTCCTCTGCTGCTAATTGCCGCAGGAGCCCATCGTCCTGCAAAGGCCCCACCAGCCCCAGGCCCGAGTGGAGCCCTTGCCTAGGGGTGGGGCAGGGGGGGGTGGAAAAGAAAAAAAGAGCAGAAGCAGCAGCAGCAAATTGAGAAGGAATGAAAGGCAGGAGATCAAGAATTCCTACTAAGGTTACCCACCAGTAGTCCTCAACTTACAGCCATTCATTTAGTGACCGAAGTTACAACAGCATTGGAAAAAGTGACTTATGATTGTTTTTCATACTTACAATTGCAGTATCTCCACGGTCACAGGGTCAAGTGACTCATGATGGTCCTGGGATCACGTGATCCCCCTTTGCGACCTTCTGGGAAGCCAAGTCACTCCCCTTCTGGGAGCCAGATTCACTTAACAAGTGTGGCAAGAGGGGTTGTAAAGGGTGAAAGCTCACTTTATAATAGCCTCGCTTAGCAATGGAAATGCTGAGTTCAGCTGTGGGTCAGGAGGGTGAAAAATGGTTGCCCAGCATCCAAATGGGGTCAGAGGTGGCAGAAGCGGCCATAAGAGCTCCAGAACGGGGCCTTCAGTAGCTCTGGACGGTGGATAAGGGACCGGTTGCTAAGCGAGGACTACCTGGATCTCACCTGCAGCTATTCAGCCCATTTTCTCTGTCAAATGGCCCCTCTGGGTCTTTGGTCTATTGAGAACGGAATGGAGTGGGACAGGAGTAAAACAGAGCAATCAGGACAGGGCAGGGCAGGACAATGGAACAGAATAGAATAATAATAGCTGGATGGGACCTTGGAGGTCTTCTAGTCCAACCTCCTGCTCAAGCAGGAGGCCCTGTATCATTTCAGACAAGTGGTTGGGAAGCCTTGAAGCACCCACAACTTCCCTTCCGTTGGTTGACTGCTCTCACCGTTAGGCAATTCCTCCTTAGTTTTGTGTTGCTTCTCCCCTTGCTAAGTTTCCAACCGTTGTTTCCCGTCTTGTCTTTTGGTGCTTTGGGAAATGGGTTGATCCCCTCGTCTTTGTAGGAGCCCCTCGAGTATTGGAGCAGTGCTGTCATGTCCGCCCGAGTCCTTCTTTCCATTAGGCTAGACCAGGGATGGTGAACCTTTTTGGCACCGAGGGCCCAAACAGGAACGCTCGTGCATGCGCTCCGGAGCACCGGAAACCTGAAGACCAGCTGGCACGCACGCACGTGTCTGTTTTGGGGGCCATTTTCAGGCCATTTTTCAGGCTGTTTTCAGGAAGTTTTTGCGCGCCGGAAACCAGAAGAGCAGCTGGCGACAGTGCGCGTTCCCACAGAGAGGGCTCTGCATGACGCCTCTGGCACGCTTGCCATAGGTTTGCCATCACGGGACTAGACCTACCAAATTTCTGCCACCATTCTTCCTATCTCTTAGCCTCCAGCCCCCTAATTATTTTTGTTCTTCTTCTCTGCACTCTTTCCAGAGTATCTTTTTAGTATCATGGCGACCAGGACTGGATGCCATCTTCCAAGTGCGGTCTTACTAAGGCTTTGTAAAGTGGTAGTAGAACTTCATGTGATCTTGACTCTATCCCTGTTAATGCATTGAATTGCATTGGCAATCCGCTGAGCCATTTTGGACTGGTGTCTCTCTGGCCTTTGTCCAAAGACCCTGCTGGAGGAGAACATTCTTCCCCCAGTTCTCCTGCTGGCTAATGGGGTTCTGTCCACTTGGGGGGGGCGAGCATGTACTTGCACACCTCTGTTCTTGTTAACACAACTATGTGTTGGGACTTTGTCAACCGACCCCATATCTGAGAATATGCCTATCTTGTCCTCTTCTTCGGGTGACTCGGTCAGTCCATTCCGGACGTTGGAGTCCTCCTCTGAAGCCTCATAAGCTGGAGCTGAGGAATTGGCCCTCCCCCCTTCCTCCAGCAGGGAATCTGGACCCACCTTATCCCCAGATATTGTAGCAACGTCTCTGCTGGCTTAGCTGACACAAGGATTTGTGAGTTGCATGCTGTCTGGGGAATGCTGGGAGTTGAAGTCACCCATCTCAAAGGCTGCAAGATTAAAAAGGGCTGCCCTGAGGCTTCATTCCGCTGTTCTGGGCGTGGCCCTGCCAGCCAGCCGCACCTGTCTGTGTCCTTGGAGGAAACCAAGGACACCGTGTGCACAGGGCTTAGGCAGGAGACAAGGCTGGCCTTTGACGGCTGTTTACAGAAAGCTCAGGGATGGATTAGGGAAGGTCAGGTATGCTTGCTTTTGCTTGGAGCTCAGCAATTGCTCCCGAAATTGGGCTTCTAGAATTAGGCAGAAGGCTGTAAAAATAGGAATCCAAATCGGGGAGGAGGATCTCGGGGGGCTCAACTATTTCTTCTTAGGGCCTCTGCCAGCCAGGGAAATGGGGGGGGGGGGAAGCTGGCAGGTTTGTAGCCCTCTAAATCTGGAGGGGATCAGAGCTGGGCTGGCCGATCCCTGGAGGGGCAGGATAAACAGCGATGGACTGAATAGCAAGGGTGGCTCACCTTGGCTGGAATAGGGATGTTAACAGGGACCCTCGGGTGGAGTGGATTTTGGGATCTACTGAGAAAAGCTGCGGGTAGAAGCCCCCTCCCCAGTGGTTTGCAGCCAGACACCTGTGGCCCTCCCACTGTGGCTCTCGCAGGCCTGGCGAGAGCCGAACGGAGCTGGCATTCAGCTTGCCTTAGTTGGTCTCTCCTCGGGATCCAGCCCTGGGAAATTGGCAAGGGCTTCTCTCCATCCACTCTGGGCAGTCAGGTCCTCCCACCTCTGCAACGTAGGCAGGGCCCCCAGGTCAAGTCTTTGTTCCTCTTGTGTAGGGAGAGGGGAGCATTTGGCTGCCCTGCCCGAAGGCTGCTGCTGGACCACAAACCTTCAGACCCCCTCCCTCCACCCTCCCTTTTGAACTCTCTACCTTCAGACCCCTCCTCTGCCTTTTTCAAGAGGATGAAAAGGTGAAGCCACCTGGAGTTGCCTCCAATGGCGAGATTCATTGTTCATTCATAAATAAAACATGATGGTGAAATGCTGCTTTCTACAAATGAACATTTTTTATTTTGTACAATATTCTGACCGAGAGTGCAAAGCATCCGTCCACAGCTCTATTCTAGTGCTTCAGGGATGAGCTGCCCTGAGAACGGATAGCAGAAAAGCTCATGGGGGTGGGGGGTGGTCTTCGGAGTCCTCCATGCTGAACATTTCATTGATTTATTAGCCCAGAGTAAAATCAGCGACAGAATTAAGAGGACAAAACGGGGCCCACCGAGTATAATAAACGGCCCCCTGGCCTGGAACCAAAACCAAGGTTTCAATGCTTTCTGGACCCGAGGGGCCCCCCGTCTTTATCTTTGGAGGAGCCTGGGGCAGAGTTGGGGGCCCCAAGAGAGAAGCAAGGCTTCCCGGGTCCCACAAGGTGGCAGTGCTTAATGGGGGGTGGGGGACTTGGCGGATATCCCTTCCAGAAATGACCGGAGACAAGCAGCCCTCCAGCTCTCTGACCTGCAGAGTTTTGGAGGCAATGAACGCCAGCTGGCAGCTGGCACAGCTCACATCGCAATGGTGACGGAAGGGCACATGAGAGGCGCCCATGACACTCTGCACCACGGCTTTCTTTACCAGGGGCTAAAGAAAGGGGTCTTCGAGGGCAGCCCCACCTACAGTGCATTGCAGTAATTAACTGTGAGGTGAGCAGGACATGAGTGACTGTCTGAAGGGAAGGCAGAGGGTGCAACTGGCGCACAGGATGAAGAGCGCAATGGTTCGTCTTGTGGCAGGATGACCCTGCCACAAGGGTCATCCTGGGGGGGGGCAAGCTGCACCAAGCTTGCCCCCCCCCCCCCAAGCTGCACCCATCTGGAACGGGGAAATGTGGCCCGCTCCAAGACCAAGGATGGGAACGCAGCTGAGCGGGGAGCAGGGGAAGCGGGCCTCGTACTGTCAGGTGTGAGCAACCAGACCCAGGCGTGCAAAGTTCACCAGTGGGCCTGGTTGTTCCCTTGCAGCCGGTGCTTCCCAGCGGTGTCATGCAGAGGTTGAGCAGGAGGCACCCCACGCGTGAGAGGCCCTGGACACGATACCCTTCCTGTCCATCCACCTGGATTGCAACTGAGAAGTTGCCCCACCCCCCACCCCCAATCCCCATCCAGAAGGAGGTTGGCTGCTTGCCCTGCAGGGCGTCACAGGAGCCCCCAAAAACCAGGTTGATTGAACAAGTCCAGGCATCAGGGCACCAAAGCACAGGTGCAGAGAGCGCGTCTTGCAGCCACCCCTCCAGTCTTGGTCCTTCAGCTCCAGCTGCCCAATAGGTCAGCCCTGGCCAGCCAGCGGTCAGTCGCCCCTGGCCTTCTGCTGGAAGTAGGCCTCCAAGCGGCACTGGGCGTATTCCTGGCAGGAGGGAATGATGGACTGGGAAAGTGACCCACCTTCCCTGCCAGACCCAGTTTGGTTTGGGAAAAGGGAGGGGCAGCCCAGCACCCTGAAACCCCTTGGGGGGGCCCTGGGGGGCCAGCAGCAACCCTTTATCCCTCTAGGCCCTATTGAAATGGCCCAGAAGTTGCCTTTCCCTGCACCAGCCCCTGGGGGAGGACGGGGGGGGGGGCGGAGGGAGAATGGGAACCAGCCCTCGGCACTCACCAGGTAGCCAAACTCAATGGTGGAGATCTTGGCCTGCAGGATAGACCAGAGGCCCCAGAAGAAATGGGAGGCCAAGGTGAACCTGCAAGTGGGGGGAGGGGGGATGTCAGCCAAGGGGGGAAGAGGGGGTATCTGCCATTCATGCCCCACAGAGGCAGTTTTTTCTAATCGGGAGCATTCCCAGGAGAATGAGGGGCAGACCGAAGCCTCTTGCAATGCCCACCCCCCACCCTTAAAGGAAACAGCCACAGCTCTGAAATGCCGGTGAAATGCCGGTGCGGCTGCTGCAGCGTTCCGGCCACCCCCTACCCTCACAACTGACCGGCTGATCTCCAGAAGCATCTTGGCCTCCAGGCGCTCTTGCTCCTCCGGCGAGGGGGGGTCGGCCTTCCCACCTGCCTCCTCCAGGTAACTCCGGATGAAGTGCAGCTGAGGGAAAATGAGACAGGTGAGGCAAACCACCTTCTGAAACTGCGCCTCCTGCCTGCCACTAGGCAAAGCTTCTGAGATCCCAGGGACAACTAGGGCCAAAATAAATTGGGGGCGGTGATAGAGACCCCATGGAATTCAAGGAGGAGGAAGCGGCTTCCGGCTGGGCATGGCGAAGACTTTCCCAACCTGTTCCGAACAATTCCTGAACAGCCGCTGCTCAGGAGGGGCAAGATTTCCCTTTGCTGAAGATGCTCAATTGATCCATCAATCAGCTCTGCCGCCCAACACCTCACCACCACAGAAAAAAAGATCCTAGAAAGGGTGCAGAGAAGAGCCACAAAGATGACTAAAGGAATGGGAGGCTAAAACATATGAAGAACCGTTGCAGGAATTGGGTATATTTAATGAGGAGGAGGACTAAAGGCGTCACAATGTCAGTCCTCCAATATCTGAGGGGCTGCCCCAAAGAAGAGGGGGTCAAGCGAGCCTCCAAAGTACCGCAAGACGCAATGGATGGAAGCTAAGCAAAGAGAGAACCAGCCTAAACCCAAGGAGGCCGTGAGAGCAATCCACCAGTGGAAAGGCTTGACTTCAGGAATTGTGGGGGCTCCGTCACTGGGGGCTTTTAAAAGGAGACTGGACAGCCCTCTGTCTGAAATGGTAGAGGGCCTTCTGCTTGACTAGAAGACCTCCAAGGCTCCACCCACGTTGACTGTTGGCAATGTACAGTCCTGGAGAGCAGGAAGAAAAACCTGGGCATTTAAACTACGACTCCCACAGCAGAAAGCAAGACCAATGAATAGATCAAATTATAGGCTCAGTAGCTCAAGTTCCAAAAGACCAGGCAGGCTCGAGGGCCACCTGAGCTGAAACGACTCCGTTTCCAAAGAGCCCAGGTCTTCTAGACTTTCAGGGCCGTTGCTGCTGGGAGGAAAACGGATCCTTGCAGGAATGGGGAGCAGGTTAGCAAGATGGAAAGGTAGAAAGAATGGGTGCTAACCGGGGCAACCTTGAAATCTCACTTCTAGACCTGCTGTATCAAAGCTTCTATGGCAACGTCAGCCATGCGTTTCTTGCTCTTAAGGCCATCCTGTTTCTTTGAGGATAGAAGCACTAGAAGGGCAGGGAAGAAAAATCTATTGCCTATCTTTTAGTGTATTATTTTCTCCTCCTTTCCTGAAATGTATAAATACGAGTGCATCCTTCAGACCGTGGGAGTCCCTCCCGCTATTTCTCCAGGGTGCACTCTTAACAATGAGCACCGCAGCCAGGCTGGAGGTCGGAGGTTCGGGTCCTGCGTTGGATTCCACTGGCCTCGATGCCAGGGATGGGCAACGATGGCCTCTTCACGACCGGCGGACTTCAACTCCCAGAATTCCTGAGCCAGCAGTTCTGCTCCCACCCTCCAATCCAGCCCCGCCCTTCCCCCAGGAGCCCAGGGCCACTACCTGCTGCTCGGGGCTGGGGTAGTTCTCCGGGCTGGCTTTGTAGAAAGGCCACTCGTCGTGGGCGTAGCTGTAGACCCACTCGCAGAAGTGATTGGCGATGTCGAAGCCCCTGCAGGAGGAAGAGGAGGAAGAGAAACAGAAAGAGGAAGAGAAGAAGGGGCAGGAGGAAGGGGAGGACGATGAGGAGGAAGAGAAAGCTGAGCACTGGGTTTGTTCAGCGTATCTCCAAACATCTCCTTACACTACACAGGTAGTCCTTGACTTACGACCAATTCCTCAGCAACTGTTCAAAGTAACAAGGGTCCAAGCTTGGGGCTACTTACCAGCCGGATTCCAAGTTCCCACGGCTGCCCCTCTCTTGACGGTCACTGAACGACACGGCTGCATTTAAAGACGCTTGCTGTGTCCTGCAGTCACCTGGCCACATTTTATGAGTTTTGACAAAACCCGGTATTTACTGCCCCCATTGCAAACCACAGATTCGCTTAATGACCGCCAGTAAATAGGTTGTAAATTTGGGTCTGATCCATAACCCAGTCTGTTTTCTGATTTGTCACAACTTCTGACTGTGATGGGCAGGTTCCATGATCGTTGTAAGTCGAGGAATGCCTGTAACTAGGTTGTCACCACCTGCTATGCCAAGCAAACCCCCTGGGCACTTTCACGGAATTGCTGGGTTTCTGCAGTGCTCTTAGGCCAGTGAAAGGCTGGCCGGAGCATCAAGACGCTAAGCACATTTTAAATCTTTGCTCAGGATCTGTCTGTGTGTGTGTGTGTGTGCATGTGATAGAGCATGTTATACAAACCCAGCACTGTTGGGTTACTTTCTATCGCAGTATAAAACACGGTCCAGAAAGGGGTCACTTCAATAAACCAATCAGGGCTAAGATGGAAAGACAGCCGGTATATGAAAATACGTATAATTGGCTAATTTGTAATGAGGGGCGTGTCACTGCCAGGCCTGGCCTGGGGGAATTCGAGGGGAGGTTTTCACGGAAAGCAGGACTGGAGAGCAGAGAAACTCCCTGGAAGAACTGAAATAGCAAAGCCTCCCTCCCTCCCTCCCTCGCCAAGCAAACTCTCTGGCTGCAGGCAGGGAGTCACCAGGAGACTGTGGGCAGTCCTTGACTTACAACCGTTGGTTTAGTGGCTGTTCAAAGTTCCAATGGCACTGAAAAAAGGCCATTTTTTTCACCCTTACGATTGTTGCAGCATCCCCCATTTTGGTCACGTGATCAAAATTCAGATGCTTGGCGACTGACTCATATTTATGACGGTTGCTGTGTCCCGAGGTCACGTGATCCCCTTTTGTGGCCTCTTGACAAGCAAAGTCAACGGGGAAGCCAGATTCACTTAACAACTGCAGGGCTTCACGTAACAATGGTGGCAAGAAAGGTCGTAAAGTGGGGCAAGAAATGTCTCACTTAGCCACAAAAACAGCCTGGGCCCAACTGTGGTCCAAAGTCGAGGACTAGGTGTATCCCCAGTTGGCGGTCAAAGCCCTCCTTAGACTTGGCTAGAAGAGGCCAAGGGAAACCGTTGGGTGACCAGGGCAGCCCACCCCCTTTCCTCCCTGGGGCCCTTGGCCTTCTGCCCAGCTGCGGAGGCCGGCCTGCCTACCGGTAGTTGTAGCTGCTGTACTCAAAGTCGATGAGCATCAGCCGGTCCGTGGAGGAAGCCTGGCGGCCAGCCAGGAGAAGGATGTTCCCTGCGTGGGGAGAAAGGGGGCGAGGGGGGTTGGCTGTCAGCCCAGCCAGGACCTCCTCCTGGCCTTGGGTCCGGTGGCTGGGGAGGCCCCGAGTCTCTGCCGCCCTCACCTTCCTGCACGTCATTGTGGCAGAAAACCACGGGGGACGGCGTGGCCTCCAGCAGCATCCTGGGGAAGAGGAAGGAAGAGAGGAAACAGCTCAGCCCCCTTTCCTTCCGGAGGGAGGGGCACCACAAGACAAGAGGGCTGTCTTCAGCCATGGGGAATGAGACTTCACCACCCTCCGAGTTTCGATACAAAGCTGTCTTTTGGGTGTGAAACCTGGAGGGTCCCAGCCTCTGAATCCACCTTGCCCCACCGGCAGCATTTTCCTGATCCCAGGGGGGAGGGGGGGGGGGGGGGGGAAACTACTGCAAAGCTGGCAAGCAGCCAGGCTGGGGCAAGTGAAGGATGGCCCAGAGTCTGGCAGCCCCACAGGTGGCCTCTCTCTGGCCGCCTGCTCACCTGAGGCTGTGCATTTCGGCCTCCAGGTTGTAGGCCTTGAGCCGGTTAAGCTTGTGCCGCTGGGCCTCCTGGGAAAAGGTGAGTTCGGAGATCTGCTTCAGGTACCTGCCAGGAACGGAGGAGGATGAAGGGAGGCTCCCGCTGCCTTGGAGGGGAGGAGGACAGGTGGGGAGGGGCCCAAACACCTTCCCAGGCGGCCTCTGGAGTCCTTGGCAGGGTGAGAGCTGCAAGGCCACCAGCCCAGGGAGTGGCCCTTGCCAGGAGCAGCCCCAGCCGCCTCTGCAGCCGAGGGGCCAGCCAGGACACCGAAGGGTGACCCACCTCTCCATGGTGCCAAACATCCACTTGGGCTCTTTGTTGAAAGGCATCACCATGCCATGGAAGCGGGCCATCTTCACCGCGATCTCCCCCGAGATGCTGGCCTCCGGCAGGTCCTCCGTGACCAGGCGGCGGCTCTGCGGGGGGAGACAGAGGGCAGCCCGGGGGCGGGGGGGGGGGGCAGGGGGGCTGGAGGGAGCGGGGAGCTCATAATCATGGGGAAGCGGATGGAGAGGAGAGGCTGCAGGGGCTCAGAAAGGCCTCTGGGAGACCCCGAGGCCACGTTGATTTATAAGTCCCCCAAAATCTCTTGAAACCAGGCTGGGAGCGAAGGACCCATGACACACACACTGCACAAAGCCACACTGAGGCCCAACATCCCCCCCTTTAGATCAGCGGTCACCAACCGGTGGTCCGGTCCGCGAGAAAATGTTTGTGGTCCGTGGAGAAATCTTCGTATTTTTGCCGGTGCCCCCTGGTGGAGGAGCTGCTCCGGGATGACCAATGGGCCAATCCTGTGAGTGTGACTACTACAGCTCTGGAATATGGGACTGGCGGGGGCGGGGCTGGAAATCTCTGTCCTGGGGTGGCACATGCAATGCGCAACTTTGCAGGTCCTGCAATACGCAAAAAGGAGCGCAGCCCTCTCCGTCCGGAATGAAATAATGGTGCTGTTGCGTGGTGGGGGAGGAGGCGGCGCAAGCGGGCCGAAGCAGCGATTGTGATGGCTAGAAGCTGCGGGAGCGAAGCACCACTTGCACTTGCGCAGCATCAGCATTCCGCCTTGGGATATTGGTGCCAGCCGGTGGCGCAAGGCAGCCCTCGTCTCCTGCCGCTTGGGACTCGGAGTGGTAAACAGCGACTGGTCCAGGGAGCAGCTGGATTTTGCTCTCCATTGCGGGTGCCAGATCGGCCCCCTGCAAGCTCTCGTCTCTCGAGGAGCCCGGCCAAAATTTCCCGTGCCGCTTCAGCGAGCACTCCTCGAGAGATGAGAGCTTGCAGGGGGCCGATCTGGTGCCCGCAATGGAGAGCAAAATCCGGCTGCTCCCCGGACCAGTCGCTGTTTACCGCTCCAAGTCCCAAGCGGCAGGAGACGAGGGTGCCTTGCATCACTGGCTGGAGCAAATATACCAAGGCGGAATGCTGAAGCTGTGCAAGTGCAAGTAGTGCTTCACTCCCGCACTTCTTCTGGTCCTTATTGGTGTTCCACACACCTCGGTCTCTCAGGGAGATGCTTGACTTCCTCTCAGCCCCAAGACACTGGCTGGCCCATGAGATGAGAGAAAGAGAGAATGAGAGAGAGAGAGAGAGAGACAGAGAGAGAATGAGAGAGAGAAAGAGACAGAGAGAGAATGAGACAGAGAGAATCAGAATGAGACAGAGAGAAAGAAAGAGAGAGAAAATGAGAAAATCAGAATGAGAGAGTGAGAATGTGAGAGAATGAGAGAAAGAAACAGAAAACGAAAGAGAGAGAATAAGAGAGAATCAGAGACAGAATGAAAGTGAGAATCAGAGAGAGAGAGAATCAGAATGAGAGAGAGTGAGGGGGGAGAGAAAGAGAGTTGAGAGAATGAGAGAGAATGAGTGGGAGAGAGAGAGAAAGAGAGGGAACGAGAGAGAGAGAGAGAGAGATGAGAGAGAATGAGTGGGAGAGAGAGAGAGAGAGAGAAGGGAGGGAGGGAGAGTGCCTGAAGGACCCCATCCCGTCACTGGGAGTCCAGGTGCTTCAGCAAGCGGTGCACTGGATTCGTATTAGTGGTCCATGGGATTTAAAATTATGAACTTGGTGGTCCCTGAGGGCCAAAAGGTTGGGGGGGGGGGGCTTGGTTTAGATTCCTAAAGCCCTGGAAGGCCTGGCTGTTTCCCCACACCTTGTGGTTGAGATGTGAGGCTGTTGGTTGCTTTTCTTCCTGCTAGGTTTCCAGAGGAGGAGGGCTCCGTTTTGCCTATTTTATGGCTTTCTGGGGTTTTCTCTCTTTTTAAATTTGGTCATCCAGAGTTGCTTGGAGTCAGAAGTTTAAGAAAGTGAAACAAAGAAGATTATACACAAAGCAGAGCTGTGTCCAATTTGGACTTGAGTTGAAACCTCTGCACAGCAGGCAACTCAGGGGGCAGCTTGTGAGGGCAGCCTTGCCCCTCTGCTTGGGGTGGCGGCCTGAGCGCCTTAAAGCAAGGACGGGCGCTAACCAGAAGCCCCTCAGCCCACCCACCCGCATGCTCACCACCATTCTTCACACTTCCCTAAAATGGGATTCCGGGAATCAGAAGAACAGAGTTGGAAGAGCCCTTGGAACGGCAGGGGGTCTTCTAGTCCAACCCCCTGCTCAAGCAGGAGACCCTCTCCCATTCCAGACCAAGTAGAAGTGTGCCTGGAGATGGCATTTGGTGGCAGTGCCAGGCCAGGTTCAGCCCTACGTTGCAGCCTGTCCTGCCTGCCAGGGAGGGAAGGGGTGGCACCTACCGGGATGTATTCCTCCAGGCGCCCCTGCGGGAAGATGCCATACAGCCGTGGTCCCAGGGCCCGCTCGGCCAGGATGGCGAACATGACGCTCTCAAGAACCAGCGAGTCGACCCCCTGCGGGAGAGAGAGGGAGTATTGGAGGGGCTGCTCCCGAGGACAGACTCACCGGGGCCTGAGCCTCCCAGCAGACCAGGAGCCAGAGGTCTCGAGGCTGTTGGCCATCCCCAGCCCTGCAGCGAGACGGCACTGAAGTGGCCGGTCAAGCAGTCATCAGTCCACGGAAGCCAGTCTGGGAGAATCCACTGCCCAGGAGTGGCTGCTTCAGCTCTTCCCCTGCCAGGGGAGCCCACGGCCGCTGATCAGCTGGCACGGAGGGAGGGAGGGAAGGAGGGAGGGAGGGAGATGTGTGAGAAGGAGGCGCACAACCACTCGTGGCAAAGCCAGAACGGCCCTATCAGTTTTCCTAAGTACAGGTAGCTCTCGACTTATGACCAAAATCGAGCCCAAAATTTATGTTGCTAAGTGAGAAATTTGTTAAATGAGTTTTGTCCCATTTTACGAACTTTGTTGCCAGAGTTGTTAAGTGAACACTGCAGTTGTTAAGTTAGCAACATGGTTGCTAAGTGAATCCGGCTTCCCTCTTGACTCTGCCTGTGATCACATGACCCCGGGACACATGCAACCGTCATAAATGTGAGTCAGTTGACAAGCATCCACATGTAAATCTCTCGACCATGGGGATGCTACAATGGTCATAGGTGTGAAAAATGGTCATAAGTCACTTTTATCAGTGCCGTCGTACTTGCGGTCACTAAATGAACTGTTGTAAGTCAAGGACTACATGTAACTAAACGAAGCCGTTGCTTCGTGGAAGAGCCCCAGCTGGATATCCTGGGGCCCCAGGAGCAGGCAGACGGCAAAGGTCATCCCGGGGCCGGAAGGGAAGCTTCCGGAAGGCCCGGCCGAAGCTCACCTGGAGGATGACGCCGTAGACGCGAAGCAGGACCTGGCGTGGCTCCTCCTGGGCGGTCGGGATGTGGTCCGGCAGGGAGCATTTGTACAGCAGGTTGCTCAGCCCTCCGCTGTGGGGGAAGCAGAGACAGGCAGGTTGGGGGCTGGTGGGACAGGACAAGCCCCCCCCCCTCCCCCTGGGAACGCAGGCAGCACCCCTGACTTCTCCCAGGGGGCTGCTCCCTTCCAACTCTGCTACAGGTAGTCCTCGACTTACAACAGTTCATTTAGTGACTGTTCAAAGTTACAACAGCACTTGTAACTGTTTTTCACACTTCCGACCCTTTGCAACATCCCCACGGTCACGGGATCAAAATCCAGACTCTTGGCGGGGTCAGGTTTTGTGAGCTTCTGACAAGCAGAGTCAGTGGGGAAGCCGGATTCACTTAGCAACCGTGGCGCTAACTGAACAACTGCAGTCGTTCACTGAACAGCTGTGGCAAGGAAGCTTGTCAAATGGAGCAAACCTCACTTAACAAATGCCTCCGTTGTGGTCGTAGGTCGAGGACTACCGGTGTTCTGTTAGGCGTGGCTGTGGCGTCTCGGGCGGGGGGAGGGGAGGGGGGGAGGGGGCGTCTCCCACCGTGGCTACTTTTAAAAGTGGCTTCCGGACTCCCACTCCCAGAATCCCCAGCCAGCCTTTGGTGCGAGGCTTCCTCCCCGGGATGAGCCGCCTGGGACGGGAGGCGCTGCGGGAGAGGAGCCTCGGGGGAGCCTCGCGAGGGGCTCCGGAGGGATCCCGGCCAAGAGACACCGGGGCTCATCCCGGGGGAATCTGCCTGCGGGGGCCACCCAGTGGCGGGGCGTTCCACGGGCGGGGCGGGGCGGGGGGGGGGGGGGGGGGCGCGGGGGGGGGGGGGCTCACCTGACGGGGACGATGCCCAGCTGCTCGGGGGCGGCCAGGCGGCGCCAGGCCCCGGCCAGGAACTCGCGGCACCAGAGGAAGGCGCGCAGGCGGGTGGGCGCGGGGACGGCCGGGCAGCCGCGGGGCGAGCGGGGCGCGGCTCGGTCTCCGTCTGGCCCGTCTCCGTCCGGAGCCTCCATCGCAGAAACCGACCGATGGCCGCCCCGCCCCTCCGGTCCCGCCCCCGCGCTCCCATTGGCCGTGGGCGGCTCCGGGGGCGGAAGACGGGCTGCGGTTCGGGCCCGGGACGGAGGGGGCGGGGCAAGGAGGAGACGGCGCCCAATCGGAGGACGTGACGTAGGCGGCCGCGGCGCCAATCGCGGAACGGCGGAACCCGGCGAGGGTGAAGGTCGCGACACGTGTAGCGGCGTTTGTGTGAACGCGCACTCGACCCGCAGCTGAGGGTGCGTTCCTTGGAAAAGGCGGCCTAGCCGGCCCCGCCGCTTCAGTCGAGCGAAGAGAAGTGGTGCAGGGCGCTGGGTCCCCGGAGGGCGGCTCCGTTCGCCTTTCCCGACCGGTCGGCCCACCTGCGCAAGGGGTCGTTGCCAGCTGCACCAGCCCCTCCGCTGCGGGGCGGGGCCTCTTGAAGGGGGCGGGGAACCAGCGGGGACCTACACGTGTCTGGGGCATCCGGGGGTTTGGAGAAGCAGAAGCTCCCCCCCCCTCCGCGAAGAAAGATCCGTGCTGGGTCCCCCCTGCTGTCTTGGGCTCATAGGCGGCCTGGTGTCCCCCTCTCCGCCCCCCCCTCGTCTGCTCGGCCCCGACAAGGGCGGAGAGGCGCTGGCCAGCAGCTGGGGGTGAGGGGCGGGGGGGCGGGGCGGGGTATGGGCTGGGCTCCTTGGAGGGGAATTTCCCCCGAAGATCCTCGGCTGCAAGAGAAGACAATAGCCGTAGCTCAGGATTGTGCCACAGGGCCCCTGGTGCTCTGTGAGCTGGGTGGCTTCCTTGCAGACGTTTCATGACCCTGCTAGGTAGCATCGTCAGTGCTAGAAGGGAGGAAGGTTTGCGGAGTGGAGGGGGAGGAGAAGGAGAATTGGTGCTCTCTGAACTTGGACGTTTTCTTGCAGACGTTTCATGACCCTGCTAGGTAGCATCGTCAGTGCTAGAGAGGGGTTGCTCTCTGTTTATGCCCCAAGCAAGGAACTGCCAACTCAAACAAGCACTCAGGCAATAGACACCAGGCTAATTGAGGAACCAACAAGAAGGAAACGCTCCCACCAACACCAAGGGGTCAAGCCACTAGTATATAAACAGAGAGGAACCCCCCCCCCCAGCACTGAGGATGTTACCTAGTTGGGTCATGAGACGTCTGCAAGGAAACCCCTTAGAGCTTAGAGAGCACCAGGGCCCCCACCCTTGGCTTCCTCTGATCTCTGATTGTCTTGTAGATGCCAGCCAATGTGGAGATCAAGGCACGGGTGCAGGATCTGGCCCAGCTGATCAGCAGGGTGGAGCAGCTGAGTGGATCCCCAGGCGCTCTCATCCTTCAGACTGACACCTTCTTTCCTGTTCCCCATGGACGGCTGAAGGTTCGCGACTTCAGAGTGAGTAACCCAGCCAAGCGGGATGGGGGGGGGCTCAGTATGCTTCCCCCATTTTGCCCTTCAAGGGAGTCTCCAGCTCTTCCATCCAGGATGGGCCCATGAAGTGGCCGTTCCCATTTCAGGACATTCTTTCTCCATGCAGCTTAGTGGGACAGACCCCCCCTTGCCCCCCTCCCTTTTGAGGATAAGCGAGACTCCTTCATCTTTAACTTTTCCAGGCAGGGAAAACACTCTCCAAATTCAAACAAATCTGCTAAGCAGTTTCCAGCCCATTTCATTTCTACATTTTCTGCTGCTGCCTAGAGATGTTCCTCCTGGAGGATTTGAGTGACAGGCGTGTAACAGAAAGTGGGTTGATTCCAGGCGTAAATCCCAGCGCTGGGTTCCAGCCTCCCTGAATTGGGTAATGTTAGCGACCCAATTTTGGAGAGTTTCTTCAGTTTGAGAAGTGGCGGCATCTGCACCGAACATTCCCTGCAATTCCATTCTTTTGGGCCAGTTTCCCTCTTTCCTTTACAGGCAGTCCTCGCCTTACAGCAGTTCGATTAGTGACCATTCAAAGTTATAACTGCACTGAAAAAAATGATTTATGACTCTTTGTCACGCTTAGGACCGTGACAGCATCCCCAGGGCCACCTGATCAGAATTCAGCCACTTGGCAATGGACTCATATTTATGACGGTCGCAGTGCCCCAGGGTCAAAGTCAACGGGGAAGCCAGATTCACTTAACAACCATGCAAGAAAGGTTGTAAAATGGGGAAAAATTCACCTAATAAATGTCTTGGTTAGCGACAGAAATTTTGGGCTCAAATCTGGACATAAGTAGGGGACTACCCCTCTTCTCTCTTCTTTCCTGCTGGTTCTTGCAACCCTCCTCTCCCTTTGAACGACCTGTTTCTTCCGCTCAGCCTCTCTCCCTTTCCTATTTGTCCAGGGCTCCCAAAGTTCTCCCTCTTTCTCAGTGTTCGATCCTCTTAGAAAATAATGGGCAGGTGTTACGGGAGGGGCGCCCCACAGCATCCGGATTGGCTCCTGCCAGTTAGTACAAGCCGGCCTATTCTGTGCCGAGATGGTTCCTGTTTTCACCCCTGCCGGGGAGGACAGAACTCCAAGGTCTCGTGGGCAGAGCAGCAGCTCTCAGCACCAGCTACCTCTTTGGCTCTCTTGATGGCATTGATAAGAGGTGCCTAGAAGAAACCAGGGTCACTGGGCCCTCTCTTCTCTGGCAGAGGTGGAAGGGGGGCAGTTCAGCCCAGCCTCCCTTTGAGCTTTGGGATATCAGTTCTGAAAGAAATAGATTTTGTGGTGGGGGGCGCTCAGGTCAAAGGACTTTCTCCAGCCGGCTGCCCAGATCTGCTGGCTGATCTTCAAAGGCCCCCAGAAGGCTCCAAGTTGGGAAGATTTTGCCTGAGCTGCACAGAAATGGCAGAAATGGCTCCATTGGTTTTTGAGGCGCTCAGGCTGGGAGACTGGTTGAAGGTGCCGAAACCTTTCCAAAGCTGAGAAGCCCCTCCCGACCCCTGACCAGTTGGGGCCACCTGCAAGGGACTCCCAAACCCATCATGTGCATTGTGTGCCCCTTGCTTTGCTAAAGACACAATTTTCTGGAATTTGGAAATGGACTTGGCGTCGGAGAAGGCTGTCGAGAGTCCCTCGGACTGCAAGGAGATCAAATCAGTCGATCCTAAAGTCGATCCTTTGGAAGGACAGATTCTGAAGCTGAAGCTCAAAGACTTTGGCCACCACATGAGAAGAGAGGACTCCCTGGAGGAGGCCCGATGCTGGGAAAGGCGGAAGGCCAAAGGAGAAGGGGACAGCAGAAGAGGAGGAGACGGGTTAGGAAGGGTCATCAATGCAACGAACAGGAAGTTGGGCAAACTTGGGGGGACGAGGGAGGGGGGCCTGGGGTGCTGTGGTCCGTGGGGTCACAAAGAGTCAGACACAACTTAGCAACTGAACGACAACCACAGCTCCAACTTAATTTTAAATAATTTTAAATTTTGTATGTGATGTTTTTATTCTTGGCTGTTCACTACCCTGAGTCCAGTGGGAGAACGGCGGTATAAAAATCTAATAAAATAAAATAATAAACTCCTGAATCAGAAAACCTTCACTTTATGTGAAGATTGTCAGTTATATTGTCAACTCTTGAAAATAATGAAAATGAAAAGACACAACTTTCAGGAAGTTACTCATAAAATGGCTTGAGCTTTGTTTTGTTTGTTATTAGAGTTTATTGTGAGTTAAAATGCAAATAGAAGCAAAAATTAAGAAAGTTAGAGAGAGAGAGGAATGCAAGAAAAAGAAAAAGGTAATTTCTCATTTTTTTTCAGTGCAGTAGAATACAAATAAGTTGCAACCTCAGCCTTTTGCTTTATATTTCTAAATTTCAAATTATTTCTATAACAAAATTATTCTAAAAATCAAAACCTAAAATTAGAGCTTCATTTTTTTTTTTTGCTTTCAAGTACAAACGTCCAGAAGTAGTTCCAGTTGCAAATCAAGCTAGACCAATTAATTAATTCTTAATTAAAACAGGCCATTTCCCCCTCTCCACCGACTCTTTATTGCCCTGGCCATCTGGGAATTGATGTGTCTTTCCATCTTTGTGCAGATGAAATACACATGGACATCCAGATCTCCTTTCAAGCTGTTTGTACTCCCAACTAAGAGGAACAAATTCTGGCTTCATTTTTAAGTATCTTTTAAGAAACGTCTTCTGAATTAGAGTAAAAATCTTATCCCGGCACTTCTTGGCTTTATCATGAGTCAACCCGAGAAGTCGATGAACTTTCCATCATAAACAAGCAGGTTCATTTCAGTAGGCAGGGCCTTCCCCGTCTGGCCTGCTGGGAGCCTCACGCTGAGGATTAAGCAGGCAAGCGGCTCTGTGAAGCCCCCAGGGGACCCCCAGCAGCTGCCACTCTGGAGTTGCCGTGTGTGTGTCTGTCTGTGTGTGTGTGTGAGAGAGAGAGAGACCGAAGCTTTGCTACCAGGCTGCATTTAGGGTCCTATGGTCATGTGTCCACATTTTACAATGGGCATTTGCTTAATGACCTTGGATCGGCTTAATGACCACTGCAAAAAAGTCATAAAATTAGATCGATCATGTAATTGACCCGTTTTAGGACATATTATGACCTTAATAAGCAGGCTCCATGATGACTGTATGTCAAGGACTACCCATAAGGCAGACTTCCCGACCATTCAGCTCCCATCATTCCCAGCAAGCACAGCTTTAGGATGAGTATTTATGTTTGACGATTTTAATCTTTTTATGTTCTAAGCTGCCCAGTCACTTTGGAATGATGGGCGGCAGATAAACTTAATAATAAATGTAAATAAATGACAATATAGGTTACCTGATCATATCTTAAAATAAAATAGGGATTCAAGGACCGGCCGGAGAGAAAGAAGCCTCCTGCATCAGCTGCTCTCCAGTTTCACCGCAAGAGCAAGAGCAGGCAGAAGGCTTCTGTTCAGCCTCTCCTCAAATTACAGCCTGGCAGGGTTGCATTTCAGAAAATAGGATTCATTTGCTTATTTTGATCTGTGGGTTTGGTCTGATCCTGAGCCTTTTACCAGGTGAGGCTGATGCTTGACCCATGTTTTCTTTGCAGGAT